CGGGGCCGGGCCGGGCGGGGGCCCAGGCAGCTGAGGGGCCGGACCGGGCCGTGGGGCGGCCCAGGTGGAGCACGGCCTCCTCCGGGATAACGGAGCAGCCGGGGAGTTGCTGTGGGGAAAGTGAAATTAAATTACGGGCGGGTGGGCCGATAGAAACTGGGCTTGGGCTTGGGTGCTGCTTGTGGCCCCACCTCGCTCCTGCCTCGCGGAGAGAGCACGAAAACATGAGGGAGTTCATCTCCAGCTGCCTCTGTTGTGATGCTGGGAACGTGCATCAGCTTGGAAAAGCCTGTGTGCAACAGGCAGTGTGGGAACTCGCTTCACAAATCGGAGAATAGTTAAAGAGCATGAATTGAATAATCCCTGTGGTGTTCGGGATCCATTTTGGGTGACAAACCTGAGCAGCTCACTGTGGGTCTGGAGGATGAAAAAATCCTCTGACCCTTCATGCAGCTGGCAGCTCCTGCAGTGGGTAATGAAAGCTAATTACTGCTGCTTGAAGTTATGCTCACAACATAACCTGATGGTGCTCAGCTAGAAAACATCTTTACCAGCACAGAAGTGAGAGAAGAATTGGCCTCTGCATCACCCACAAACAGGTTTATTTATTTCCAGCATGGTTTTAGAACTGGGGAGCCAGCAAGAGTTAATTTTGTAAATGGTTTTAGCCCAGTGAGCTCTGAGCCTGCCTTGGAAACCTCTTCAGGGAGTGGTTCCAGCTACCGAGGGTTGAAGGGAGACTGGGAGGGAGGAAGTGGTGCAACTTTGCACCGCGTTGTCATTTCCTAAGTCCTAAAAAATGTAAGCAAATGTATCCTGAAGCCCTTTTATGGAGTCAGTTTCAGACTGCCTGTAAGAGCTCAGATCCTTCTCAGTGGAGAAAGTTACAAGGACACAGGCAGCTTCAGATGTGGGCAGTCTGAAGGAGAAGCTGTTTGTAGCATTTTTTATGGGCCACTTGCATGCTGTGTGAATTTTAGGTGTGGCTGGGAGAGACCTGAGAGGGAGAGCTCTGCAGTGGAGAAGAAACACAGAAATGGGATGAGTGAGGTGGTGCCAAATACTCATTCCCTTGCCCTGAAGAGGCAGGAGAGGTGCTGGGGAACTGCTGTGAACTTTCTGCTGTGAATTTTCTGCTCCTTTGCTGCCCTGGCAGTGGTGTAACTGCAGAAATAACAAAGTATAACATAGGAGACACAGCATGTTTCTCCTCCTGAGAGCACAAGCATGACCCAAACTTGATGTGAAAAATGGGGATTTGTCCCCAGTTGCAGTTCTGTTTGCTGTTTCCCCACATGGGCTGGCCAAAATGCTGTTTCAAAGCCACCTGCAGAGGTGAGGAGCAGTGTTGGGAACTCCCCATGTGTGGAGACACGAGGCTTCACTCCATTTTCAGAGGCTGGTTTATTATCTTATGATATCTATTATATTAAAATACTGCATTAAAACTATACTAAAGGAACAGAGAGAAAAGATTGATCAGAAGGTTACAAAGAAGAAGAACAGAATGCAGAACAAAATGCTGTGACTGCTCACAGCCTTGGCACAGGTGCTGTGGTTGGCCATCAACTGAAAACAATCCACATGGAGCAATGGAAAAGGCACCTGCTGCATCCCACAGCAGCACACAGTTATTGTTCACATTCCTTTCCTGGGGCTCCTCAGCTTCCCAAAAGGGAAAAAATCCTAGGAAAGGATTTACAATAAAATATCACAGCTACAGAGCAGGGGAGTGAAGGCAGCAGGGGCTCCTCAGTGGCTCACTGTGCCTCCCTGGCGGGGTTTGTGTGCAGATGGTGCTGATCCCAGGAGGGGTGTTCACCATGGGCACCCAGGAGCCTCAGATCCAGCAGGATGGAGAGGGCCCTGCCCGCAGAGTGCACCTTGGCAGCTTCTACATGGACCAGTACGAGGTCAGCAACCTGGACTTCGAGAGCTTTGTCAACTCCACGGGCTACACCACCGAGGTGAGGCACCAGGGCTCCTCTCAGCCTGGGACAATCCCAGCTGGAAACCAGCCTTGGCTTTTTGGGGGGTGTCACAACACTTGTTTGGGAATTGCACGCCCCAGTGTTTCTGGGGAGGTGGTGGGGAGGAGGAGTTGTCTGGCCCTGCTGTCCTGGGCTGGAAGGGTGTTTGTTGTTGTGTTTAATAATTGCCAGCTGAGCTCACATCTGTCCTGCAGTCTGGTGAGGCCAGCAGGTCTCTACAGGGGTTTTTGGGGTGATTTACTTGGGGTTTTTTTGATATTTGGGTCCTGGAGCTCTTTGTACCAGGTTAGATTTTCCTTATTTTAGAAAATCCTGGAGAAGGGATTCCACAATCTGAGATGGCCAGGGACTCCTTGGGCTGGCTCAGCACAGCTCTGTGCTGCTGACAGAGAGCCTGTGCCTCAGGAGGAGACAGCAGCAGCTGCAGTGATAATTGTGTGCCTGTTCCTGGGAACAATGGATAAGAACACGTTGAGGTTCCTCCCAGAAAGGGCCCCCTGTGCCTGAAGCTCAGATCCCTGCTGACAGTGACTGTTCCTACGCAGCTGTGACAAACCCTGACAGCCCTTGGAGGCAGATGGAACCTGGCTGAGGAGCAGGTCTCAGAGGAGGCACTTTGCTGAATTCACTGCATGAACTGGGTCTCATTTGGAAGGCAGGATCCTCTGGTTGGATGAAGAGCTTCTTTTGTCTACTGTTTCATAATTATGAAAAAAAGGCAGTTAAACTATGCTGAGTTGGAACAAAGCTTGCTCCCTGCAGCAGCTTCTGGGATGAGCACGTGTGTGCTGGGTTCAGTGTGGAATCACAGAATATCCTCAGCTGGAAGAGACCACAAGGATCATCAAGTCCAACCCCTGGCTCTGCACAGACACCCCAGCAGTCCCTCCCTGTGCCTGAGAGTGTTATCCAAGTGTTCCTGGAGCCCTGGCAGGTAGAATCTGTTGCAGACCCCATGGCTCAGCTGGTGTCATTGAGTGCTCCACTTACACCTCCTCCCTTTTCTTTTCTCTTGGTGTAATGTACTGTGATTGATCAAAACTATTTGTATTTTTGTTCTTTCAGATTGCTAAAATGCTAGATACAATGATTCAGTTGCTTTTAACTCTTTATTGTTGTAGCAGCAATTTAAAACATTGTACTAGTGATGATGGAGCAGTAAGTGACCAGGCTCAAGTCTTTTATTGTGCTTCCCAAAGGAAAAATAAGAGGAATGAAACATACCCTTTCATATCAGACTGAGTGTAGCATTTGAAAGCAGTTGGGACAATCAGAACTGCATTTTTAATTAATAAAAGTAAAAACATGTGCAGAAGCTCAGTGAGCTGCCATCTGCCCAGTGGCTGCTGAACAAAAACAGCATCCAGAGAAAAAATCCCTTCTTTTCTGTTGCAAACCAGCTTCCTTGAAAGAGAACTCAAATTCATGGTGAATTTGTTTGGTCAAAGGTTGGACTTGATGGTCTTGGAGGGTTTTTCCACCTTAAGATTCTCTGAATTTTCTTACCCTTGATAAAACAGAGCTGTAAATGTGGAGTGTGGTTCCAAGGATAGCACTCCTTTGGTGACATAATGCTTGAATCCTTTGTTCTTTCCACAGGCAGAGAAGTTTGGTGACTCTTTTGTGTTTGAGGGGATGCTGAGTGAGGCAGTGAAGGCTGACATCCACCAAGCAGTGAGTAGCACAGCAGGGGGAAGCTCCCTGAGCAATCCCTGGGCTCTGTTGGCAATCACAGCAGGAAAACTGAACTCTGTGATGTCCCCAAAGCCAGGTGCAAAAATGGGGGATTGTGGAGAGGTGTTTGGCCAGGAATCATGGACTGAAGTGGGGAGGGTTTGTAATCTGTTCTGTCCTTTTTCTTTAAAAAACAATTAAAAACATCAATTCCTGAGCAAAGATTGGTATCAACCCATTGTCTCTTTTTGCCCCTTACCTGAGAAGTTCAGGCTGAGTCTGTAAATTCCTTATGTTGTGAATGGCTGGAGTTTATGATGTTTCTTCCTCTCTAGAGGGTCCTGTGTTCATTTGCTGCTTTTCCAGCTCCCCTCATCCCTCTGGGCACCAATGATCCTGGGAGGGGCAGTGCTGACTCCTCTGGAGCTGATCCAGGTTTCCTGTTGAGTGAAAGTGAATATTGGTTTGAAAAGAAAGAAATTTCTCTAATAAATCTTCCCTTTCCTCTTTTTTTTTTTTTTTTTTGTTGTGATTATATTGCTGAGCCTTCCTCAGGCTTCATTTACCTCCTCCTTAGCAGGTCAGGTCCCCTTTGCAGCTCTTGGCAGATAAGCAGATTGTGTCCTGTCATCTCCTGGAGGAGCTGATCTGCTCTGAGCTCAGGTTTGGATAAAATCACCTCCTGAGGTCCCCTCCTGTCAGAATTATCCTCAGCTCTGAAGGGGCACAGTTTGATTTTGGTGTTCAAGGGGCAGCCTGAGAGGTTTCAGGAAGCCCTGTGTGAGTGTGTGCTCTGAGGGACTGGCAGAGAACGTGGGGTTTGGGTTCCTGCTGCCAGGAAAGGAAGATTACAAGTGCAGTTTGTAATCTTTTAACTCAGGACTAGCATTTGTGCACTGGGAGAGATAAGGCTAGATTGCAGTTCCCACCACCAGCACAACTGATGCTAAATCCATCCATGGAATTGTTCTGCCTTCATAAAAATAATAAAAAATACAAATAAAAAAATTAATGGCTCGTTCTATCTTCCCAACAGTCAGTCCTGGGGAAATTCCTTTTCCTGTGTAGTTCTGTGCTGCAGAAATCCCTAAATGAGTTTCTGTGTTTTAAAACAAACAAACAAACCCCAAGAATGCTGCTGTAAGCTCAGCCTTGGCAATTTTGTAAACACAGAGTGTTGGGAGCCACTTTCCTGAGTGTGTCAGCCAAATTTCCAAGTGTTGGCTGCAGTGCTCACAGGACAAGTGTTATGCCAGAGGCCTGGGATGGAGCCCAAACTGGTCTTTTTGGCTGCTGCATTGTGAAGATTTTCTGGAGCTATTAAAAGTAAACTTGATGTTAAAAGTAATTTTCTTCAATCATAAGTATCAGAAAAAAAAGCAGAAATAAAGTATAAATATTGGTGTGTTACTGGCACTGCAAATCCCTCCAGCCAACCAGTGGGAGAGAGGATTGTGGTTTTCCTTTGCCTCAGTGGCTCAGGAGTGTTTTGACAAAGATTTTCTCCAGGTGAAGCCCAGGGATGTGAAATGTAAATACGAATATAGGGGAAGAGCAACAGGAATTTAAATGTTTAAAGCAGTATTTCACATGCTGTGAAATCACTGGGGAAAGGTGAAAGTGGAGGGACCAAACTAAATAATTTAGAAATGATGAGCTGTGTGTGTCTTTTGTGGGTTTTGCTCTGTTTGGCCACTTTGTCTTCTCCAGTTCTTAAAGCAGATTTATCAGAGCCTCAAAGGCACTGGCTGAGAGCAGAGCTGGGGCTGGTGGCAGCTGCTGGAGTGACCCAGCTGAGCTCCAGGGTGATTGTTGGAGCTCTGGGTGTGCCTTTCCTGGAGGTGAGGTGGGCTCCCAGATAGCCACTGACAGGAATGTGGGCTGGCCTCAGCCTCTGGAAGGGAAGCAGTAAAAAGGGGTGTAGCAGCCAAGGATCAATTGTTGCAGATTTCTGGGAACTTGGGTTTTAGTTTTGGCCTCCAAGTTTGTGATGGTCACGTGGCTGAGGGAGGATTTAGTGCTGTGCCAGATGAAGGAGTTACTGATGGAACTGGGGAGGGCTCCTTCAAATGGAAAAGGATTTTGTGGGGTGAGGGGAGGGAAGGTCTTTTGAAGCTGAAATTATTTGTGTGGACTTAAAAATTATGAGAGCTTCACATCTTAAATTCTTCACATGCAGCCTGGAAAAGAGGAGGCTCTGGAGAGACCTTGGAGCCCATTCCAGGGCCTAAAGGGGCTCCAGAAAAGGTGGAAGAGGATTTTGGAAAGGGACAGGACACGGGGAATGGCTTCCCACTGCCAGAGGGCAGGGATGGATGGGATATTGGGAAGGAATTGTTCCCTGTGAGGGTGGGCAGCCCTGGCACAGGTGCCCAGAGCAGCTGTGGCTGCCCCTGGATCCCTGGCAGTGCCCAAGGCCAGGTTGGACACTGGGGCTGGAGCAGCCTGGGACAGTGGAAGGTGTCCCTGCCATGGGGATGGGACTGGATGGGCTTTGAGGTCCCTCCAACCCAAACCATTCCATAATTCCATTTTATTCTGAGGGGTTTGAGAGCTCTTGCCAATCCCTGCAGGAGTTTGCTGCCCAGGTACCATGGAAAAGGGAACCAGGATGGCACAGCAGGAGTGCAGCCTCAGTCTTTGCTCACTGGGGAGTAGTGGGGACATTGTTATTCTTGGCTTGTGGAAGGCAGAAAAATTAATTTTTGCTTCAACACCAGATAAATTCTGCACTGAAGAGCCTGAGAGCATACAAATGTGTGTGCTGCCTTTGTCTGTGAGGGTATGCAATTTTGGGTCTGCAATGCAATGGAATTGGCTCACTGGCAGCTCAAACCAGCACTAAATTCTGGCCAACCCAGAGCTGTGGGATGCTACTTTCATCCCTGTTTGTATGGAAATCTCTGCAGTGGCCTGGAGCCGTGCAATTTGCCTGTTTCACAATAACCCCAAATGGAAACATTCTGCATTTCAGCTGAACATCCCAAGGTGCTGCTGAGAGGAGCCCTGGCTGCAGGTGGGACAGCAGTGCCAGTGTGGGCAGGCTGAGCTGTTCCTGCAGCCCCAGTGCTTCAGCTGCTCCCTGCAAGGAGCTGGAAGATGGAGCTGTTGAAGTGTTCCTCTGTGGGTTTTTGTGCTCTACTCCCACTGCTGGGATAAAGAAGGATGTGCTGGAATTCTCCCTGGGAATTGCCAGGAACATCAGCCTGTGTTATCAGAGCTGCAGTTTAAAGCAGGGCATGGTTTGTGCCTCAGGATAAATCCGTGCACATCTCCTCTCCTTACAGCTCATGTGCATTTGGTTAGTGGAAAAAATGACCAGTTGGAGTGCAGATTTAGATGTTGGCTGGAAATCAGACTTCCAGAGGTGTCTGTCTTCACCAGGAATATCAGTTCCTCAAAAGAAGCTTCTTCTGAGTCCAAAACTTGCACTTAATGAATCTGACTGGATTTTAGCATCACGTATTTGTGGTTATTTTTCTTGGAGGACTGACAGGGCTGTGAAGTTTTACACTGTCTGAACTGAAGCTCAGTGACCTTTCCTTATGCAAAGAAAAGGGCCCTTCATAAAAGTGCTTGTTTCCAATCAAGTCTGAAATATCTTTTGTAGTTGATGACTTACAAAGCAAAATTAAATATCTTTTAAAGCTGCTGCCTTTCCTTGGTGTGCAGTTTCAAACTGCTGTAAAATACTGGATTTTAAGGCAGATAATATTCAATATTAAACAAACCCCCTTGTTGCTTCCCTTTCTGAGCTCATGAGGGAGGCCATTAACATTAGAAATTAAGAGTGAGAACAGATTCCTCTGTAATTAGAGCTTTGGGGGAGCTGGGACTTTTAATTGATAGAATAAACAGCATGGGAATTGCAGGAGCTGGCAAAATCAGGTATTCACAGAATCCTGGAAGGGACCTCTGGAGATGCTCTAGTCCAGCCCCTGCTGCAGGTGTGAGCTGCCTGCTGGACAAATCCTCTGCTCACTGTGTTTGGGTTTGTGTGTGGCAGGATTTCCCATCCTGGCTCATCCCTTGGCCATGATTGCTGCAGGTTTGTTTTCTGTGGGGACAATGAAGTGGATCCATTGCACAGTAATTATTTTTATTTCTTAAACTTCTCACCTTACTAAAAATGTTCCGTTTTCTGTCTGCCTCTTTCCTCAGTACTTCATTAATCAGTGCTCAAGGTTTAGGATCTGGCTTAGAGGAGGAAGAGCTGTCAGAGATTTATGTGCATCTGCCTGACATGAATAAAATAAAACCTCATCCAAAAATTATGTTCTTTACTGAATAACAAATTTTTCCTCACGTCCTACCAATGCTAACAAGATCCTTTTGCATATTAAAGCTCAACACCATCTGATTGAAACAAGTGGTAACCTATTAAGTCAGCTTCTGAACTGGAGTGGTTTTTTAAGAATCCACCACTTAATAAATGATTCTTAAAGTGGTTTCCAGACTTGGGCTGCTTTTCACTCAATCTCTTTTCACACAGTTAATTCTGGAGTTCTGCAGTCACTTTTGGTTTTTTCCAGCTGTTTATTCTGTCTGGTGTAAGGCTTTTAAAATACTTTATTAAAACAGCATTGGAATGCTGTAGCACAAAAAAAAGCTGAAGTTTGGTGCTGTATGACTGGACAGCAGCATGAATTTGTCATCATCTTGTGGGCCTGCCTTAAGGTTCAAATCCACAGCTTTGTTATTTCAGGGACTTGCTACTTGATGGAAATGTTGGAGCCTGAGCCAAGATGAGCTACTCTGTTGAGTTTATTTTTGGGAAATTTTCGGATACATAAATCTGATTTGAATTTGAGATTTGCTGCTCAAGTAGAGGTTGTTTTTGTCTCAAACATGGCCTGTGACAGGTTAGTGCAAGAATAATAAATGCTTTTATGGCTTTGGGGTGGTTTTTAGGGGCATTCCCCTACTGCAGCAGCAGCAACAGGATGATGCTGACAATGAAACTCACTTGGTGATGTTCCCCACTCTAATTTTCTTTTCTACATAGATTTAGGAAGGAATTTTCTTCAAGCTAATTGTGAAGTAGTTAACAAATCTTGACATTGTGAGGTAATGGAGCAATTAAAGTTAGGCTGTCCCAGCCCACTTGGAAAGGAAAATGGAATAGTTGGGAGGAGAGTTTTCTGCGGGCTGTTAGGGGAGCTCAGGCTCCAGCTCTGCAAATTGCTCCGCCCAGAGCAAAGCTCGTGGGCTGGAATTAATTGTTCCAGCTCTTCCCAGTGTTAGCACACTGGGCTCTCTTTCCACAGTCCTCTGGGTCTGCAAGAAGCAGAACAGGGAGTTCTTAAGGTTTAATCCTGGAGGGGAGAGCAGGATAATCCCTGTTTCCAGCTGGGTCGGACCAAACCAAGCCTTTGTGCCTCTGCTTTGCTCTGGGAATGTTTCCCTGTGCACCAGGGTGTAAGGATTGCAGGGCAGGTGTGGGTAATCTGGCACAGGTGACATGCTGCAAGAATGAACCAGAAGGAAGGGGAATGTCCTCTGAGTCAAGATCTGTTCAGCAGCATCTGCTGCTATTTGGACAGCAGGAATCTGTTGCCAGTGCACAGAACATGTTTCGGAGGGAAGCAGATCGTGAAGTGTTATGAAAGTAACTAAGCTCATTATTGGCAAGGGAGGACTTGGCTGTATTAACTGTGATGTTGTAATATCTCTGTCTAATTAGCTCTTCTGCTAATTAGATCTAGAGCAATTAAAAGCTTTAAAGACTTGTGAGAAGTTGTGGGAGGGAACTGTAGAGTTCAGGTAGGAGATTTGTGGAGGGAGCAGCTCGGGGTGTGTTCACTGGAGCCAGGGGCTGCCTTAGGTGAGTCTCCAGGTAATTCTTGCAGGCTCTCCATGTTCTCCCCTGTTATCCCTGTCCCAGCCCTGCATGTCAGTGCTCTGGGTGCTCTGCAGAGCCTGGCAGCCATTTGGTGCTCAGCTCAGCAGAGCCACAACCGGGAGCTGTGCTTTCCTGTGGAGAGACATTTTTCTTGGGTTAAAATAAACCAGCCTGATTGAAAGCATCTGCTTTTTCTTTTGCATCACAAAAATATTTTCCAAAATTAAAGTTGTCTAAAGTGTAAATCTTTGCAGTCTCCTGCAGAGATGTTTTTATCCAAAACCCAGCAGTTTAATTTACAAAAATATGTTGTGCTTAGAAACTGTCGAAATCTTTCTTGTGATCTTTCGGATTTTAGCTTTAGTAAGTGGTTCTGCTGCTCTTTTCTTTTCCTTAAATAGCTGCAAAATGCTAATTTTGGATTTCTGTCCTATTTTCAGTGTAGTTTAAAGGTCAAACCTCAGTATGAGAAAGGAACTGGTTAAATGGGGCTGGCTTTAAACCTCTTGACTGTTCTATCAGTTTAGCAGGCCCATCACTCTGAAGCCTCAGTGCTGAGAGAGTTGAGCAGAGTGTCTGCAGGAAGGGCTCATTTTGGGGTTTGAATGCTCAGCAACAGAGCTGTAATCCCTGTGAGAGATCAGCTGTTTCTCATGCTTTTTGCCAAGGGTGGTGGCTCTGCTTGGGGTGAGGATGTCCTTTGTTAGACACTGAGCCAGAATTGGGGTTGGCGTTGTTGACTGATGTTCTTGTCGTGCTGGGGAGGGCAGGGAGGGTCTGTGAGTGCTGTCCTTGCCTGGGGGTCCCACTGAGGGGGACAGCAGAGGACACAATCATGCTGCTGGGAGCACCTTTGTTTCTTTGGTGCGTGACACTCGGGTGTTCCCTTTGGAAGGGAGGGTGTCCACACTGTGAACACCTTCCCAGCCTGGAGGAGCCCTGCAGCCTCCTCAGGCATTTCACAGCCCTTCCCCAGGGCTCCCCGAAGCTCTGGGCTCTGCATTGACACTCGGGTGTTCCCTTTGGAGAAGTTCCACACTGTGAACACCTTCCCAGCCCTGCAGCCTCCTCAGGCATTTCACAGCCCTTCCCCAGGGCTCCCCAAAGCTCTGGGCTCTGCAGCTTTAGTCCAGGATTGCTGGTGATTTCCAGGGAGCTTTTCAATACCCAGATGTGCTGCAGGCAAAATCCGTGTGTGCTGAGAGGGGAGGAGGGAAGGGCTGTCAGGGATGTCAGCACAGGCTGATGGGGGTCTAAACCCAGGATAATGTGTGTTTGGGCACTTGCTACTGAAATATCCACCTGAGTGATTTGATGTGTAGCTTGGACCAGAGCTTTCTGGACAATCTCTGTGTGACATAGATAATCTGTCTCACACACCTGTAATTACACGTTCTGTTGAGGGATGCAGCTTCCCCCTAGAAGCTGCTGTTAAAATTGTTTGACCAGACTGATTCTAGGTCTCCTCAATGCCAGCTTGCAGTGACTTTTTGGACTTTGCTCTGAAGGTTTGGTGAGTCAAAGGGTAACATTGTTGGCACCTTTCCTACCTCTGTGAATAACACTTGACAAAGTCAGTCTAGGACTAACCAGCCTCTGGGTTGTTTACCTCCTAAAGCATTCCAGGCTTATTTTCTCTGATTTTTGTTTTTTATAGACATTATCTCTGTTATAGGAGTATTTTGGAAGCTGTTGGAATAAACCCACTGTTGATGGGTGGCATAAATGTTCCTTTCTTTGCCTCAGTGAAGGCCCCATTAGTAAAAAACGTATTTCTAAGTGAATATGAATCAGAACAGTTAAGCATTGCTTTGAAAGCAAGCCTTATTATAGAAGAAATCCCTAAAGAATGTCTTCCAGGAAAAATTCCTTGGCGTTGAAGAACCAAATTTGGGATTTCTGGTTTGAGACAACTACTCAATGCCTGCATTGCTACAGATGATTTTGGCTGGGTGATGTTTCCCAGCAAACCAGCTGGAGGAAAAAAAAAAAGAGAAAGGCTTCATGCTTCTCTTCCCTTGTGTGGTTCTTCTGTCTCCACCTTCTGGAAGCTGAGAGCAAATAATTTAAAATCAGCTGAGTGGGTTAATGACCTGGAAAGCAAATGTGTTGCAAGATGAGTGTTTGACCCCCAGCTAAAGGGCATCATTGGGGGGTTATTTCAGTGATGTCAAAACACTGAGGCCAGGGAGCAAATAATAAAGGTGAAAATGCTCTTTAGGCCAAAATCCTATTTTTTTTTTCCTCTCTGCAGATTGTATCAGACTGAAGTCAGGCAGGAGCTGAAATTCGCACAGGCACAAACTGGTTTGGGTTGGTTGGGATGTGGTGGTTGTTCAGAAAATCCACTAGCTGGGAATTGAAGTGTCCTTCCCTGCTGCTCTTGTCCTTTTTCAGGTGGCAGCTGCTCCCTGGTGGTTGCCTGTGAAAGGAGCCAGCTGGAGGCACCCTGAGGGCCCTGACTCCAGCATCTCCAGCAGGTGAGCCATGAGCACCCATTCCATCAGAAAACACAGGGAGTATCCCTGTGCCTCCCACCAGGAATGGGCTGCAGGAAAGGCCTTTTATTCAGTCACCTGTTGCCTGCTGCTGCTGGGACTGTTTTCCCACCTTCTGATGAGTTGCATGCAGCATTCCATGGCCATGGTGAGTGATGCAGAGCACAAAGGTCTGTCAGGACGTGCTGATTGAGCCTCAGTGTTTGCTGTCCATTTCTGTGTGCCAGCAGGGGAATTCAGCAGATCTCCCCAGGGTCACAAACTCCACACCTGGGTTTGGAGAGGAGGAATCAATCCTCTGTGTGCACACTCCAGGAGTCTGGGCAGTGTGAACTCTTCCATGTGGGATTTGGAAGCCTCTTTCTCTGGCAACAGAAGACTGAGGAGTTTTGTGCATTTGTCACTGTATTCTGACTGTGTGAAAAATCAGTTGTGACTATGCAGAACCTTTGAATGCTTTGGAATACTCTGCTTTTTCTTACAGTTAGTGCCACCCTTTGCTTGCACAAACCCTGAAACTTGCTGATCCTTGTCTTCATACAATTGCTTTCCATTCTGAAGTGGGATGAATTTTAGGCCTAGAAAATCAAATTACTGTCTTCATTTGGGACCTCTAACATTGCAACTGCTCCTCTGACTAGGCAGGTGTCAATGAAGTTGGCACTTCATCAGCTAGTGAAAGTTTCTGACAGCATTTTGAAATCAAATCAGACTCTCTAGCCTAGATCTAGTAGTTTGAGTCCTCTAAGGACAGGACTTTGTTAGTGCACCATCATCTGATGGCTGAAGTGCTCAGTAACGAGTTATCTGCTCTCCAAGGGCAAGGAAAGAATTATCTGAGGCAAAAATAGAGATAATAGCTGGAGGCGTTGTTAGGGGGAGCCAGGAATTGAGGTCAGAGCCAGCAGACAGGAGCTGGAAACCTGCCATGAAATTCTGGGCTGGCACAGACCTGGCCTGGCACAGCTGCTGGGAACCTGCCACGTGGAAATGGCCCCAGGGCTTCACAGGGTACACTGGATTCTTAGATGGGGCAGGAAGAGAAGTTTATAGGAAGTTCCTGTCTCTCCTGGACCCTCAGCTCTGGGAGCATCTTGGTCTGTTGGAGGCTTGGATGGGAGGATCCTTCTGCAAGAATGGCTGGGCATTTTTTTCTGTGTTTTTCTGGAAAAAGAGACAAGGATTTTAATGTCAGTCCTGGAACCAAACCCCATTAAAGACAGGAGCTCTTGTGTAAACTGTGGACTGCTTAAAGCACCCAAGGAAAATCACTTCCCAGCTAAATTTCTGCAGTTCAGTGTCCTGGACAGGGTGCTGCAAAAGCTGATAGAGTTGGTAAGACTCTTCCTCCTGTCACCTCTCCCTCAAAGCCCCACAACTGACAGCAAGGACAGGACCCAGAGCAGGAGAGGAGCCACAGGGGAGGGAAGAACAGTCACCACTGAATTGCAAAGTGCATTTTGCTGTTGAGAACCCTGCCTTCTGGCTGAGATGGCCCTTGCCAGGCTGGTTTGATGCCAGATGCCCTGTGCCAGGCTGGTTTGGCAGTGGTGATGCTGCAGGTTTTCAGTGCTTTCCTTTGGCTCTGCAAGCACCAAGGCTCCCCCAGAGGGCAGGGTATGGACAGTCCTGGGTGCTGCACTTGAGAAAGCACAAACCATAAATAACTGGAGAGCTGGAAGTGGCAGCAACACCAGACAAAGAGAAGTTAATTATTTTCTCCTCCTGTTTCCCTCTGATGGCTGCATTTCCCTTCAAGCTTTTCTTTCCTGTAAAGTCACCTGGTGCAGCTGTAACTCGTCAGTCCTGGATGTCACACTGTGCTGTGCAGCCCTGAGTCTGCCTGGTGCCCTGAGCAGCCTGTCCTGCTCATTTTGTTCCCAGAATGGACCATCCAGTCCTTCATGTTTCCTGGAATGATGCCGTGGCCTTCTGCACGTGGGCAGGGAAGCGGCTGCCGACGGAGGCTGAGTGGGAGTACAGCTGCAGAGGGGGCCTGGAAAACAGGTACTGTCCAGGGGAGAAGGGCTTGGGAGGGGTTTGTTACCCCCAGAACCGCTCTGCAGCCAGGCTGGGAGAGCTGGGGGTGCTCACCTGGAGAGGAGAAGCTCCAGGGAGAGCTCAGAGCCCCTTGCAGGGCTTAAAGGGGCTCCAGGAGAGGGGCTGGGGACAAGGGATGGGGGGACAGGACACAGGGAATGGCTGTAAACTTAAGGAGGGGAGGTTTAGTTGGAGTATGAGGAAAAAAGTATTTATTGCAAGGGTGGGCAGGCCCTGGCACAGAGCAGCTGGATCCCCTGGATCCCTGGCAGTGCCCAGGGCCAGGTTGGACATTGGGTCTTGGAGCAGCCTGGGACAGTGGGAGCTGTCCCTGCCATGGCAGGGGTGGCACTGGATAGTTTTTAAGGTCTCTCCCAACACAAACCAGATTCTGTATAACTGACTTTTAATTAACACTGTTTGACAGCTGCTCTGTTTGTCTTTTCCCAGGCTTTTCCCATGGGGCAACAAACTGCAGCCCAAAGGGCAGCACTATGCCAATGTCTGGCAGGGAGAGTTCCCCACCAATAACACAGCAGAGGATGGGTACAAGGGGACTGCACCTGTAAGTGTGTCTCAAAGACAATCCAGCATGTGGAAATGATCTTAATCTTCCTAAAATAAGGTCTATCTTCAGGAGGATGAGCCATGGCTGTTTTCTATCCCTGTGCTCTTTCATTTTAGATTTTAAGTTACATTAAATTTCACTGCAGGCTTGAGCATTATCAAGGGACTCTTTTACAAGCTAATTGAAAAGTAAAGATTACTTTCATTTTAACTTCTAGTTCCTCTCAAACTGACCTCTTTTCCTCCCTCCCAGTCAGTTTGTAGTCAGAAGGTGAAATACTTTCTGCCTGCACTTGTGGCCTTGCAGTTTTGTGAATTCAAAAATCACACAATAGTTTAAAAGAAATTAAACTTCCCTTTTGGGGAAAGGTTGAGCTGACTAGTATAACAACCAGAGTGGAATTTTAAAGGCAATCAAGAATGTGAATGAATTATTTAATGGTAGCTAAGTAAATCCAAAAGTTTAATCAGAAGAGGAATCTGCACAGGCAGGAGCTGGCAGCCACCCTGGCTTTTCCTTGGTGGGAGGGGAATCTGGGAGCCTGTGGGTGTGCCAGGTGTGTCTGCTGCTCACACAGTGCCTCTCTGGAGAGGCTCAGTCTCCAAAAGCAGCGAGGGGATGCTGTGTCACACTGCAGCAGGGTGCTGAGGACACCGAGGTGAGCACAGCCTTCATCCTGCTTGATTTACATGCAGGATGTTGGGGTGTTCCAGGTCTGCACTGCTGCTCTGGTGCCTGCTTCTGGGGCTCCTCAAAGTGCACCTGGAGCAGAGTGCTGTGAGGGTTGCAGCCTGTTTGGGCTGTTACAGAGCTGTGTCCCCTGTCCTGTGCAGGTCTCTGCCTTTCCCCCCAATGGTTACGGCCTCTACAACATGGTGGGCAACGCCTGGGAGTGGACCTCGGACTGGTGGGCTGTGCACCACTCCCCCCAGGAGCTCCACAACCCTGTGAGTGTTTGCTTGGCACCACCTCCAGAAGCCCCTCTGGGATTGTTGGGTCTCTTGCTGTGCTGTGCTGCTGGGGTGGGGGATTGGGAGCATTGCAGAACAGCTCATCCACACCGCAACTGCGGTGCTCTGGTGCAATTTTGGTGTTGTTTGGTTAGTTGTTCACACCTGGTTAGCCTTTGGATACTTCCAAACTGGCCTCCTATTACAGAAATCAAGAATTTGTGGCATGACTTCTTTAAAAAAAGGAAGGGTTTTAGTTCATTTATGTTGCTACAAGCTGTACTTTCCCCTCCCTCCAAACCATCATGGATTATCTTTCTGGCTTCTGGTAGCTTGTTTTAAACTGAACATGTGATAAAACTGAGGTTTAGGAGAAGTCACCAGGCTCTGAGAGGTGAATCTTTGTTTTCCTTTGTGGCAGGCAGATGGAGGTTCCTGCAGGTTCAGATGTGTGGGGGTCACTGATGATCTGTCTCAGCAGATTCCAGTTCCAGTGTTAGATCTGCTCCTCTCCCAGTTATCCAGGATGAGTAAATCCCATGATTTATGAATATGACAAGTAAGGCCACGTAGATTTTGTCACTCAAAACCCCACCAAATACAGTGGTTTTTATTTGCTAACAACTTACAAAGCACTTTCAGGTTTATTTTTACTCCTGGTAATTAGTTGTGAAGGCAAGACAATCAATTATGGAACCCCCCAACAATCTGTGTGCAGAATTCCATCCATTCCTTGTAGCCAATCCTCAGCATAGCTCATATCTTCCCAGTGCTAGAAAGCTGCTTTGAAGATTTTGGGTGTTAAACTAAATATGTTAAAAAACTTTGCCTGAGCTCTGACCCTCTGGAAGAATTCAGTCTTTTCAGCCCAGAGAACACATCCTATATTTAGGTTACACTGCCTTGTGCTCTGCAGAGACTGAAGAGCTGGGCTCTGATAGATCTGGTGCTAATCAGTTCTAATGTCTCAGAAGGTAACTGCAGCCTGGCTATTTTGGGACACCTTTTCACAGGAGGAGATGCAGTTTCTTTACCCATTTAACCAGAAAAACCCTTTGGAATTCACTTTGAAGTGCTCTGCCTCAGACACTGGATTCTGACAATCAGTTTGCATATGAAAAACCCGTAAAAGCCTCATTGTTAACATCTAGTTTTTAAATACTTCCTGAAGTGTCTGGGTTTAACACTTCAGCAAACTCTTGGAGCTGAAGAGAGCAAAATTCACAGGATAGTTGTTCCTCACCATCACCTTAATCCAGCAGGGAAGTGCTCCTGCCTTGGCATCATCAACACCAAAGTGTCTCAAATAAATAATTGCAATGAAGGTACCTCACTGCAGTCACAGAATCCCAGAAGGGTTGGGGTTGGAAGGACCTCAAAGCCCAACCAGTGCCACCCCTGCCATGGCAGGGACACCTCCCACTGTCCCAGGCTGCTCCAGCCTGGCCTTGGCACTGCCAGGGATCCAGGGGCAGCCACAGCTGCTCTGGGTACCTGTGCAGGGCCTGCCACCCTCCCAGGGAACAATTTCCTACCTAAAAATGTAACTGATCCTTTAGCAGAGAGAGCCAAGTGTGTGAGTGAGGTCCAATCAACCACAGTCCCTTCAGGGGTTATTTTGTGGTGACTTCTGGCTCTGATTTTTTTTGTATGAGCTGCAGTTCTCTGTTTGAAAATTGATTTCTCTCCAAACAGAGTAACCATGTGGCTGTGCACTGCTAAGCACCATCAGAAAGCATTTATTTGATGCAATCAAAGAAATACAACTTTATTTTCATTAACAAAAAAGGGTTCTGGGTTTTTTTTTAGTAACTTTTAAAAGAACAGTCCTACTTTTATGAGCTTTGGTAATGGAATGCACAAGCACTTATGTAATCAGACTGGAATATGGCTGTTGCAGTATTCTAGTACAGAATAACCTTGTTCATTTACAGTAAACTCTGGGGTTTAAATCTGGGATCAAAGTCTGGACAGCTCTGGCCCTTTGCACTGATGTCCTTCCCCTTCAGTACCAGCTGGTGCACTTCTCCAGGTCAGGCCATAAAACAATGGTGTTTGATAGAACAGAAATCTGCTGGTTTTAATCAAATGTGACCTTAATTGCTGGGCTGTGATTAGCTTTTAGTGAGGGGAAGCACAGCCAAGGCAGTTTCCTTCATCTGTCAGTGAGATATGTGCACAAGCAAATATTAACACTGCAAATGCTGCTGATGATGTCTCTTGGTTTTCTGATATCTTTGCCACTTGTTTTATGATAAACTCTTTACCTTCAGTGATTTTAAATAGGAGAATGATGTTTTATAATGGAACAGATTTATGGAGGACACTACAGCAGATTTCTGCAGGTGAGGTGTTTCAGGGCTGTAATCCTTCAGGGGCTGTGGGAGTCAATTTAAGTTGGTTTTTTTCTTACCAGATAATCTTTGATGCTCAGTTTTGGCCTGATGGAAGATACTTGCAGTTAATAAAAAGATGCACTCCTGAGCCTTTGGTTCACACATTGCTCAGTGCAGGTCAGCCCTTTGTAACTGCTGACACATGATAGATTTAGGGCTTTCTATCCCTAACCAAAACTGTTCCTCTTCATTTATAAAAGCGTCTTTGGAGCCAGTTGCACAGATTGCTGCTCGGCCCTGCAGCATTTAGGGGAAATCCTGCTCCACAGCCCCATTGTTCTGCTTTGTCTTGTTCCCATGGAACTTTTTTTAGGTCAGTTTTCTCCTGGTTTCCCTTGAAATGAGATTACCAGGCTGGGTGATGACTGCTGGTGAGAGGCTTATCTCAGAGCAGGGACTGTGCATGCCCGTGCAGGTGTTGTGGGGACAGTTTCCAGAGGCTGCACAGTGCTGTGGGGAGCACCCAGGCTTGGAAGGAGCGGATGCTGCCTCAGGGTGTGGCTTTCCTTGAGTATTTGTGTGCCATTAAATGCCAAATTCTTTTTCACACGTATCAATTTTGGCAGTAAACATGAAGCTGCTGGAGTTTGTGTGGTGAACTCACACAAAGCAGGCAAACTCAGGGGCTGCAGGCAGGAGCTTCTGGAGTACCAACATCAACTCTCAAGGTTTTCTGAGAGTCCCTGAGATTTATGTTCAGTTACAAATGCTCTTCTGGGGTAGATTATTCTAGAACATCACCCCTGGTAATGCAGACCTGGGTGGGAGACAACTGTAGCCATTGAGACAGAGTAGGAGAGTGGGATCCATGGCAGGTGTGACCAGGGTGGTCACTGAGGAAAGCTGGAGCTCATTTCCTTCCTGGTAAAACCCTCTTTAGGAACCTCCCTGTTAGCAGGCATTATCAGTGGGTAGCACCTGGAATGAAAAATATTTGCAGCAGTGGGGAGGGAGCACAGCTACTGTCACCTGCAAACCCTGCAGGGCAGAATTATTTCAAGCTGTCTGCTTCAGACACCACTGACATCTGTGTCTGGAACGTTTATGATTGCTCCTTGCCCATTCCCTTACTCCTGTAACCAGCAGTTATTCCCTGAGCACTGACCTGTGTCCTCCCTCCCCAGCAAGGGCCGTCCTCGGGCACGGACAGAGTGAAGAAGGGTGGATCCTACATGTGCCATAAGGTAACGTGCTCTTCTCGTGTTCCTCTTCCCTCTGAAAGCACTTGGCCATGATCCTCTGACAGTTTCCTGCAGCCTGGATGCTTGGGGTTTCATGGGATTTATGAAGAGCAACACCTGGTGTTCCTAAGGACCTCTTTTTGCTTAGCTTGGAGTTAAAACAAGTTTTTAAATCAGTATGGGTTTTAGATGCAGAATTTAAAATTGATGTAGGCTTCTAATGGTGTTTTCATGATGGAACTTGAGTGACACTTGCAGAGTGGAAATTATGGATGTGACTTTGTTTTTTAAGTTTTAGAATTGCTTTTGATCCAGAGCTCTGGGTAACCTGGTTTAGGGAAAGATGTTCCTACCCAGGGCAGGGGGTTTGGGACTGGATAAGCTTTAAGGGCCCTTCAATCCCCAGTCCTTTTACAATTCCGTGGTTCAATGATATCAGGTGTTTGCAGAGCTGGCTGGGGGATGAAATGTTTGTTGGTGGCAGACCTGAAAATCCTTCAGAACTGCCAGGATGTCACCACAGAGTGATGGCTGTTCATGACACAAAACAGTGTTTTAAACTCTGCTCATGCAGTGCTTAAAAGCCCTCATTGTACATCTCCTGTTTCATTAAAGCTGTCCTGTTCTTCCCTTGCAAAGCCTGTGGCTGGCAAATCACTCTCATAATTAGATTAAATTTTCTACAGTGAGATCCCATTTTCTACACTGATTTCCTTCTTAGGTGAAATCAATGTCAGATGTTAATTAGCAGTTTTGATTAAATTAACACTGGAATAGGCTCTTCAGTGATGAATAACATGACCCATTTTGAAGGTTTGTGAAGATTCTAGTCTGCCCTAGTCTTTTTTTGTAGGTGATGAAACTAGGCTGTGTATCAAGACAAAACCACTGACTGCTGTTAGTACAAGGGCTCTTTATTAGGTGCCTGACATCAGCTCAGACTGATCTTTGTGTGCTGGTGCTCTTCTCCCTCTCAGAGCTGACAGAGCCTGAAGCTGCATCTTTTTACATCCCATCCCAAAAGTCTGGCACCTCATTCAGGGAAATGTTCAGTACCTGTCCATTCCAGTGGGGCATTAGCACATGGATACACAGCTCAGCCTCTGAGGGGAAGCTGAATGGTTGTTTTGGCCTTTTCCCAGAGCAGGGGAGATTCTTGGCTGACACTTTATCAGACACTTTGCCACTCAGTCCAGTTTTTGTGTCAGCTGGAGGCTGTGTAGGATTCCCTCATTTCTAACACCGTGATTTCCATCCGTGGCACTTCATCCATCTGACCCACAGCGATGGCAACGTTTTGCTGTATTAATCTAACTAACCAATCTGTTAATCTAACACACTGTTGCCTGAGGTGCCCCAGCTGTGCTAAGAAGTCCCTTTTCTGTGTTGCTGTGCAGTCCTACTGCTACAGGTACCGCTGTGCAGCTCGGAGCCAGAACACCCCCGACAGCTCCGCGTCCAACCTGGGCTTCCGCTGCGCCGCCACCGCCCCGGGGCCACGCTGAGCCACGCTCACAGGGCATGGGCCTGGGCACAGCAAGGGCTGCATCCCACCCAGGGAGAACAGATGTGAGCAGTGCCCCTTGCTGATGGCACACAATGGAAAAACCTTGCTTCAAGTTCCTGCCGAGGGAAGAAAAACCAGCACGACTCGAGAGCGCGTGGAGAACCTTTGTGTTCGTGAGCAATCTGGCCCGGGTGTTTTGTTCCAGTTGAATCCAAAACTGAGCAGAAACATGCCAATCATGTTTTCAAAGATTACTTAATCCCAGAATTAGGCTTGAAAAAACCTCCAGAATTCTTGAGTCCAGCCCTTGACTGATCACCACCCTGTCAACTACAACAGCTCCTCTTTAGAGAGGATCTTTATGAATTAGTTTTATTTATGTAGAGCTTCTACACTCAAATGCAATAAACAAAGACTTTATAAACTTCTAGACAGCTTTAAAAGAAATTCTAGGCAATTAGGAAATTGTAGGCAGCTTTGAGAGACAATGAAGGAGTCACGAATGAGGGCTGGGAGATGACAGCTCTCCCCACAGGCAGCTTGCCCTTTGTTACATTCCACTTGCAGTGAAAATCATGTCCAGAAATGGGCTTCTCCTGGGGAGATACTTGCTGCTCTTTAGGAAGTGCCTTCTGCAGCTGAGGGAGATGATCCTCAGGGTGATAATGATTAGAAATCTTGTACATACTTGAATAAAGTATCAAGCATTTGTTTATACCAAAGACTTTTATTGATGGCAAAACACAATTTCCTTTGAATTTCTTGGACACAGTGTAGGCTTATTTTAGGGATTTGGAAAATGCAGTACTGGCCTCATTAGAAACTGAAGCTAATGAATGATTCCCCTTGAATAAAAGTCATGGAAGTGATGGCAGATGGACTGTGAGCCCTAAGACCTAGTAGGGCAAATTTCTAAACTGTTCTGTTGAAAATAAAATTCCTCACTGAAAAGAAGAGGAATTTTAGCAAGTGAGAAGGGAAATGGGAGCAATTGAAAGCAACCTTGTTTTGGGATCTGAATGTGATGGTGCATTAACAAAAGCCTTGGCATTGATGCTGGTCCTTGCCAGTGTTGTCTTTGCTGTAGAAAATTGGGTTTGAGTTTAATGCAAATCCATCACCTGGCAGCTCCTTCTGCAGTGGTTTCATGTTGAAAAGGTGACACAGGAGAATGCCTGGACAGCCCTTCACCAAACACCAGCCTCCAGCAGGGTCCAGGTAAGCCCAGTGAGCAGAAAAATCTATCCCAGGACACAGCATGGCATGGCACAATACTGATATATTGATAATCATTATTGCGCTCGGAGAAGAAAGGAGGAGGGAGGATGAAAGGAAGCTCAGAGCCTTTGGAGCTGTTGGACTGGATTCATTGTGGAAGAGCACACTGAGCTGTGAAGGGCAGGCTGGGACTCTGAAGCTGAAAGGAGTCTGAAGGAGAAAGTGAACAGAAATTCAGCAGATACAACAAGGCATCTATTTTTTTCCCAGTTTCTTGACAGGGAATTTTTTTAGTAAGATTCTGGTGCACTCCCCCAGGCAGCTGCAGTGCCGAGGCATGGTGGAGTACATGCTGTATGGAAAAAGGCCATTAACAACCGTCAGGATGGTTTAGAATTCAATTAACAATTATTTTGTTTTTGCAAGGCCCTCAGGGTGGCTGTTTTGAGCAGTCCAGCGCTGTTCCTGTTCTGAGCTGGGAAGTTTGCTCCAAGCAGATAACTGGGATCAGGTCACTCCCAGGAGCTGCAGCGCTGGCGTGGGCTGAGGGCTCGGATTGCAGGGACAGAGAGGGCTCAGCTGTGCTGCTGCTCTAGGGCTGTGATCAAGGACCAGATACTGCTCAAGGTGGTTGGATTTTTTTTAATCTGCACTTCCTTAACTACTCAGAATCATGCCAAGTGCATACTCATAACAGGAAGGTAACAAACCGTGCTGTCATGCTGAAAACGAGGAGTGCAGATGCTGTAACGCTCATCTTGAAACCTTTCTCAGGAGGGAAAGAGGAAGTGGATTGGATCATCTGCTCCCAGCCCTGTGGTCTGAAAGTGGTTGGCGTGGTGCCTTTTCAGGGAGAAAACCAGATAAAACTCTCTTCTGCCCAAGAGACCTTGCAGTCCAGGCTGCCCTGGAATCCTGTGCATTCCAAGGTATGGGGTCTAAGGAGTTTCCCTGCTATAACAGCAGGAACCCTAAGAGGCAAGGACTGAAGTTAATGTCCACTCAGCCTGTGAACTACTTCTGACAGCAGCTGAAATCCTTTGGAAGGTTCTGCACCGGCAGAAATGACGCTTAATGATTAACCCTAAGAGAAATCACCTGGTGATGTTTGTCTTAACATAAACCACAGCTGTGTCTAAACCCCAGCAGCAGCAGGAAGGCACTTAAAGGGAGAGGTTAACACTGCATCTTATCAAGGAAGCAAACATAAACACCAAGTAGGATTTTGTTTAGTAAATAGCACCTTTATCCCTGGTCAGTATCTTGTTAATCAGAGTGGTTTGGGTTGGAAGGGACCTTAAAGCTCATCTTGTTCCAACCCCCCTCCCCAGAGCAGGGGACCTTCAATTCATTCAGAGCTGCAGCCTTGGATTATTCCGATTGTATTTCAATAGGAAAGTGAATCTCCCAAATACTGAATATCATTACTGCTCTTGGAGAGCAGACAGGATTACAGAGAGCTCCCAGTTTTTAGCTGTTTGCCTGGATTCCTTGTGAAGGAGCAGACTGAGCTGGGAGTGACAGCTCAGTCCTTCAGTGGCACCAGTCTTCCAGGTCCAAATCAAAGTTGGCTGTAATTTAAAAATGAAGTTACTGATCACCTGCAGAACAGCTGATCCCCATGAGATGTACTCCCTTGTGTGTGTTATGTCAAAGGGTATGGAAACAGGTGAAGATGCAACTGTCCAGAGTGAATAATTGAGGGTTTGTGCTGCTGATGGCACAGTGTGGCACGAATAAAAAACTGCATTGCAGTTTGTCCATCTTAAATATCAAAACCAGCCTATGTGAAGGTACCTTAACTTGATCTTTGCAGAAAGGAAGTGGAGGAACATGCAGTTACAGAATGTGCCCAGGTGGCAGTGCATCCCTGGGGGAAGGAGGTGCACAGAAAAGCCCTGCACAGCTCTTAGAGCCAGACAGGGATGATGCAGAGAAGATGGAATGACCTTCTCCCTGTGCTGGGAAAGGCCAGGCCTTGCTTAATGCTGCCTGGAGTAGTGAAAACATGGATGAGTTAGCAGCTGAAAGAATCCTCGTGCATCTGTCAGCTGTTCAGCACAAAACAAACCTGTTGCTGTTCAGATGCACTTCTGTATTTCTCCTTTCAGTCAGCTGTCAGCACCATCCTGCTGCACGCTGCAGGGGCTGCATTTGCCTCCTGAGCAGGTACTGAGTGCTGGGGAGTAACAGATGTGCTGCTTGTTGTGATTGCAGAGGTCTGATGGGAGCAGCCTCGAGGCTGAGGTGGTTAGAAAAGATGGGATGTGGTGCTCCTCAGAGGCTGCTGTCCTGCACCACCTCAGCAAAGCTGAATGGGAGTGAAGCAGGTCAGTCAGAGCTGCTTTGGGCATGGCACTGCAGCTGGACAAGGGACACACCAAGTACTAAAGCTATGCTTTCTTTTTTACATCAATAATTAGTAGTTAGTACGCTTTGTGGAACAAAAAAAAATTACAGCAAATAATTTTAAAAAATAATTTAATGGATTTTAAGAACCTAATACCTTTCTTGCAACAGTCATGGTTCATGGTATTATTTTCTTGTGCCACTGTCAGTGACTTTCCTTGCTTTTATCACATCCTGTCCACGTACAAGTGCCAAAGGTACAAATTCTTTCTGAAGGGTACAAACTGAGAGAGCCACTTTAACATACAGCAAGCTGTCACAGGAAAACCAGACAAAAACACCAGGCCTGGCTTAGTCACTGATTTTGGAACATCTTAAAACTCCAATAATCCTTTGTACTATCCACCTTGAAAAGGTTTTTCCATAAAATTAGTTCTCAAAACCATGTCTCTTTGCTGCTCCTCAAACCCCACGTGCTTCCTTGTTGGAACAGAATGAGTTTGATTTAACTGCTGGAGAAACCAGTATTTTCAGGTGTTTGAAGGCTGAAAGGCTACGGAGAACTCGCTGGTGTGGAGAAGAGGGAGCTGTCCCAAGGTAAGAAGGAAGCACACGTGCGGGAACCACAGTAGCAAGGTTTCCTCAGGCTGTTCTCTTCCTCCAGAGGTTTGTCTTCTCTGCTGGCTTCTGGGAAATTATGGCATCTTCCAGAGTAATCATACGACAGTTCCTCTCCAGCGGAAATATCAACAGCTGCAAAAAGCGCCAGTCTGGGCACCATGGAGTCCACTCTGACCGGCACCATGAAGAGGTTGGGTTCGCACGAGTGGTTCAGGAACCTGCCCACGTTCCCGACGCGCGTGGGATCCACGAAGGTCTCCATCACCCTCCCGTCGTGCAGGTGCTCCCTCACTGCTATGATGTAGTTGGGCTCCTGCGGGCTCTGGGCCCGGATTCTCCTCCGAGCCTCGGCCGAGCCCAGCACCTCCCCGGCGTACTCGCAGACGAAGCCGCCCCTGGGCACGGGCTGCAGGGCGCGCACGCCCCAGCCCTTGCCGCGCGTGCGGAACACCTGCAGCCGCAGCCGCAGCCCCCGCTGCACCAGCCTGTTGCGGCAGCCCTCCCCGCAGCAGCACAGGCTGTTGCACTCGAACACGGGCCTGGAGAAGGGCTGCTCCTGCAGCTCGGCCAGCCTGAGGCCCGGGCTGCTGTAGTTGTGGCCGCGGCTCAGGCAGGGGCAGCCGGGAGGCGCGCAGGAGCTGCTGCGGCAGGAGCAGCCCGGGAAGGTGACTTCAGCGGGGTCGAGCTCTCCGTCCGCTCCGGCCACGCTCTCGGGGCTGTACTGCAGAGAGAACAGTAGTCAGGCAGAGCCCTGCCAGCAGCAGCGCTCGAAAACAGAATGGTAAACAAGTTTATGTCTGTGAACGGCTGATCCCCGAACAAAAATCACGAACGCTTTGCTTTTCTGTAAATTTCCAACTCAGACTTGTCTGAAATGTCTAAGAATACAAATCAGATATTCCATATAGACCAAAAGCCAACTGATAGTCTGTTGTGATAAGGCACGAAATGATGACACAGACACTGCTGCTCTCGAGGGGAACAAAAAAGAAGAACTTTGTTTTCTGACTCCAACATTTATAGTTTTCCAAAGGTGACAGTGGATTGGAGGGTGACAGTGCCACCTCTCCAATGCCACTGGACAGACCAAGGGTCCATCAATTCTCTCCACCTCCATGAAAGAATGCAAAACATAGGTTATTTACAGAACTGTGTGTGAGAAAGTTTGTTGAAAGAATGTAAACATCAGAAGGCTTAACAAAGTCTTACAAAATCAGGGCGCCAATAGTCTCATTAGTGCCTGAATTTCTGAAAATAGCCACAAAAAGTGCTTAGCAGAAAAAAAAAAAAATCTCATGCGTCTCTACTATGTACCATTTTCATTTATAGTGATACTAAAGATATTTATTCATGGATGTATTTATTTGCAGAATTATCAAGGTATTCTTAAAGTGATTCTCCCTGCACTTCAAAATACTCAATAAGTTATTTCTAAGGTTAATGTATAGCTCTTCATGCCACAAAATTTCAAATCACACAATTACGTTAAAAATTAATATATTTTCAATTTATCTCTCCAACTTGTTGTATTCATGCTTGCTCCTAATTCCGGTAGAAAATCAGACCCTCAAAATTACACTGATGCCCCCAGCAGGTGAATGGTTATAGAACCACGGAGTGCTGACAAACAAAACCCAATGGAAACTGCTGCATTTGGAAAGCAAGGTACAGGCCAGCCACGGGGGTATTTCCACTCCCTCCTCAGCATTCAGCTTTATTTAGAAGCCTGGAGGATGTGCTATCACTAAATATTACATTTCAGAGCAGCTTGTACCTGGCAGTTCTGGGTGTTGTGAAAGATGACAGTGCATTTGCAAGTTTCTTTTTTTAACAAGCATCAGCTTCTCAGTCACTGGGCTTTAATCAAAACCAGGTTTAATGTTCCTCAGCCACCTTTTCGGTAAAATATGAGCACACCACGCAATTCAGGGAGATTTGGCTCTACCGGGATCACAGCTTAATTTTTCCGCAAGGCTTATTAGAAGCTTCTCCAATCTCTATAGACTCTTTAACACCACTGAAGCAAATTCCTAGGCATCCTGGAGTGACAGGGCGAGCAGGAACATGTACAGACTAAAAGACAGCAGATTTAGATTAGATATTAGGGACAAATCCCTGTGAGGACGGGGAGGCCCTGGCACGGGTTGCCCGGAGAAGCAGCGGCTGCCGCACCGCTGGCGGCGTCCAAGGCCCGGCCGGAGGGGCCTGCAGAGGGAGGTGTCCCTGCAGAGGGAGGTGTCCCTGCAGAGGGAGGTGTCCCTGCCCCGCTCTCCTCCCCGGTGTCCCAGCCCCGGTACCTGGAAGGCCGGCGGGGCCTCCCCGGGCGGCCACAGCGCCACGGCCACGGCCTCGCTGCCGCCGCTCAGATCCGCCATGCCCGCGCACCGCCCCCGACGCCAAAGCCGCGCGCCCATTGGCTGCGCGGGGGCGATGCCGCTCGCTGATTGGGTAGAAACTGATTGACAGCACCGCGAGCGGGCGGTGCCGGCGCTGTGAGGGAGCCCTGAGGCGGCCCGGCCTGGCTCCCGTTCCACACCGGGCCGGTCCCGCTCCTGTTCCACCCCAGCCCGGCCCCGCTCCGGTCCCGGCCCGGCCCAGGGGTGCAGCCGCCCTCGGCAGGGTACGGGGAAATGTCCTGGCACCACCTCCGGTCCCTTTCTCCGTAGCCGCGGCTGCGCCTCCAAATCGCGCTGCGCTCCGTGCGATGCGTGTGAAGTGCTCGCATCAATGGGCAATATTAATCGCAAAGCACTGAGCTGTTTTAATTCCTCAGGGTGCTGTCAATCCTTCGTTATTTTGAAGGTGTTCAGGTTTTTTTTTTCTTGTTTTTGTTTGTTTGTTTTTGTTTTTAACAAGTTAATGTGTTTGATGAGCGGATGAGATTCCGAGCGCCCGTGCAGGGGAGGCAGTGCCCCATGCTGCTGTCCTGGGCATGGGAACAGCCATGGCCTTTGTCAAAAATAGGTTAGAAACTGTTGTAAAATGGTTAATAATTGTTGGGCGTGTACTGTTAAAAAGTTTGGTTGTTATATTTGAAAGGGGTTTAAAAGGGTAGTTATAAGAAATACGGTACTCATTGTACCATGTTACACGTAAGTAAAGTGCATCACCCTCAACCCAAGCGAAAGGAGCCGGCCTGGACAGAACTGTAAGGGCCAATCAAGCGCCTTAAACCTTCATATTACTGAAGGATCCCAACAGAAACCAACCC